AGGCCACTAAGAGGATATAATACACCCTCCCTGCTTCCATGGAGTGTGCCATCACGTGAGTAAATAAGCAGTGGACATAAGTGTGTTACAAGACAGTGTGGGCTAAGTAATAAGCAGTGGCAACAGACAATAAGTGTAACAGCAGTTCAGAAAGAAAATCATTTATGTCTGAACTGGGTAAAAACCCAAAGCTTTTACGAAGAGGAGGCCTTTTAACCAGCTTTGGAAAAAGTACTGAATTTCAATGAAGGCATTGCTGGGTAAAGAACTAAAATAAGAATAAGTGTAGGATCAGAAAATCATGAAACATGCTGTGGAAATAATAATGACTAGAGGTGGCTGGGACAGGGGTTAAGATACTGTGGCTACATGACAATTCATGCTCAAAGAAATTATACAGCCTCTGAGGCTGAGGATCCCTTTTTCTCTAAGAGAGTGAACAAGCAGGCTAACAGTGGTGCAAATATAGATGGGTTTGGAAGAGAGTCAGCATGGAACTGAGAGGGACCCTACATGACAGCCTTTATGTTTTCCGTGAATTGGATATGAAGGTTATTTGCAGAAAGAGGAGGCAAAAGGAGAGAGAGAAGGAGGTAGAAAGAGAGTGAAGACACTTGAAGAGCTACTGTAGGTTATGGAAAATAATGCTGATGAGAGGCATGCAAAGGGACTGCCAAGAACTACTGAGGATCAGCTGAGGTTGGAGATAATGAGTGGCTAAGCCAACTTGTACCATTGTGTCCTTTTCTCCATAGGACTCAGCAGCCTGGTTCTAGGAGTGTGGAAGGCATGCAGTCGGATTGTTTACAGAAAGGTGCTAAAGGACTGGGAGAAAAGGAAGGGGCTCAAGTTACTGGAGGTTTCAATGAAGTTCAAAAACAATAACAGAGAAGGTCAAGCCCTGAGAGAGCTGGAGGGTAAGGATCTGGTGTAAGTGAGTGACTGGTGCTGCACAGTTTAAGATTTCCAAAGAGCAGCAGTTCCAGCGCGTGGCCAAGTATGAACACAGGTGAAGGTGTAGAAATGGAGTGATGGTAGATTAAGTGATTGAAGTGATGGTAGATGGGATACTAGATAGGCTGTGTGCTTGGCAGTTTAAATCACATCCATGTGTGGCGCCAACTACCGTAGAAAGATGGACTAAAAAACAGGTACCCAAAACATCAATGAAGGTGAGGGAGTGTAGCTAACATATAAATCTTTGCAAAGGTTCATTAAATGATAAATACAAAAATGATCCTCCTCGCATGGTTTGAGATAGAGGGAGGAGGGAGGCAAACCTCAGTGCTCGTTGCTAGGAGGATAAGTAAATGCAGTGGTGCACGCTACAGAATACAGCAGTGCCAAGTAGAAGGAGCAAACCATCATAATACATTTCAGTAAACTGAAAGCATGTCGACGCTCCTGATATCATTACATATTTTACAGGAATAGTCATATGTT